CAATTCCTATTTTGACTCGTTCGCACACATTTTCCCGCGCTTCTCGTCAGCTACATGTAATTACCTCGAGTTTTGATTGGCTCATTGGATTGTCTGTGTCCTTTGTGATTGGCTAGAGTGATTAATTTGGTTTTGGCTTGACGTCACTCAGTTGAAAACCGTTCTTACGTGCGTCCCTCGTGTGTTACACCGTCACGGCAGGCGTCATGTAATACGTTTCCTTAGAAACCAGGTACTGATAAGAATGTAGACTGCGAGCAGTCTCTCTTTTTCGCGAAAATCCGTGGGAAAGGACGCAAAACAAGTGAATGTGCAAGCGTGACGGCGAGCGTGACATACGAGCGGCGAGCGGCGAAGCCACAAATCTCGCACGCTCACGACCGTTCACTTGTGTTGTGTTCTTCTCTGCGTTCTTTCCCACGGATTTTCAAGCAAAAGAGAGACTGCTCGCAATCTAAGAAGAGTGTTAAACATTAGTTTGTAAAGCATTAAAAGGGAGATGATGCGTGTGCTGAGGAACTGAGAGTGTGTCAAGAGAGCATGTCGTATGTTCTCCTTCCTCGGGCAGTGGCTTACTACAGTTTGCTCTCTATGCTAACATCACTGTACTTTAAGATGCTAATTAGAACAAGGATGCTCCCCCCGGTTCTTAGTCCCTTTCCATCTATTAAATTTACTTGTCTCGTGTAGCATCTGATCCACACAAGCCTTTATTTTTTCTTCACTGTGTGTATAGGAAGTGTACTCAAAGCAACCAGTGGAGTTATGACTGTTCTTCCAACCCTCCAAGTCAAGAATGCCCCACAAGAAAGTCGTCTGTATGAGTTTTTCCTGTTACTTTACTTTAAACATATTTAACGTTGTGATGCAATGTTTAGTATGTTAGCATGAAGAAAATTCTTTTTAATCACGACATCACGACTCTCAAGCTATGTCACATGTAGATATTTAATGATTTTTAATTTAGTCTTTTCTAGCCTACCCAATTATCGTGACGCCCTACATTGTTTCATTTCACTGTTCAGTCAACGTTAATTCAACTGCGTTTGATTGATTTTCGGTGTATTTCTCATAACATGCTATCAGTTAACGCCTGTTCGCAGTTTAGATTTCTCATTGAAAGCATCCACTTTGATGAAACTTTGTATTGTGTAGTGACCGGGAAAAATGCCAAAACGTGGGAGAGTACCCACTGGGATTTTAGACGCTCCTTCAACAGCAGTGAAGATAACTTCATGTCATGCTTACATTTCACTTAAATTTGATGTCAATTAACACATGTTTGCTTAATCAATCAGTGAATCAATCATTCAATCAATCAAGCAATTAATCAATCAATCAATCAATCAATCAATCAATCAATCAATTAGTCAATCTGTCAGTTAGTTAGTCAGTCAGCCAGTCAGTCGTAAAGTCAGTCAGTCTGTCAGTCAGTCACCCAGCCAGCCAGCCAGCCAGCCAGCCAGTCAGTCAGTCAGTCAGTCAGTCAGTCAGTCAGTCAGTCAGTCAGTCAGTCAGCCAGCCAGCCAGTCAGTCAGTCAGTCAGTCAGTCAGTCAGTCGGTCAGTCAGTCAGTCAGTCAGTCAGTCAGCCAGGCAGTCAGCCAGTCAATCAATCATTTAATTGGTTTCACGTATAGTAATGGAAAAGATGAACCAACTATGAAATGGACGCGTGCAGTTTCTTGTTTATGTTGTAGACTGTTATTGGTTAGTAGTGGTAGTTATTTCTGTTACCTTATCTTATTTTCCAGTGTGGCAGCTTAGGAAGTTTGTTCAGCTTGGAATCATTTCAATCTTGTGTTGAGGATGANACAAGCCTTTATTTTTTCTTCACTGTGTGTATAGGAAGTGTACTCAAAGCAACCAGTGGAGTTATGACTGTTCTTCCAACCCTCCAAGTCAAGAATGCCCCACAAGAAAGTCGTCTGTATGAGTTTTTCCTGTTACTTTACTTTAAACATATTTAACGTTGTGATGCAATGTTTAGTATGTTAGCATGAAGAAAATTCTTTTTAATCACGACATCACGACTCTCAAGCTATGTCACATGTAGATATTTAATGATTTTTAATTTAGTCTTTTCTAGCCTACCCAATTATCGTGACGCCCTACATTGTTTCATTTCACTGTTCAGTCAACGTTAATTCAACTGCGTTTGATTGATTTTCGGTGTATTTCTCATAACATGCTATCAGTTAACGCCTGTTCGCAGTTTAGATTTCTCATTGAAAGCATCCACTTTGATGAAACTTTGTATTGTGTAGTGACCGGGAAAAATGCCAAAACGTGGGAGAGTACCCACTGGGATTTTAGACGCTCCTTCAACAGCAGTGAAGATAACTTCATGTCATGCTTACATTTCACTTAAATTTGATGTCAATTAACACATGTTTGCTTAATCAATCAGTGAATCAATCATTCAATCAATCAAGCAATTAATCAATCAATCAATCAATCAATTAATCAATTGGTCAATCTGTCAGTTAGTCAGTCAGTCAGCCAGTCAGTCGTAAAGTCAGTCAGTCATACAGTCAGTCAGTCTGTCAGTCAGTCACCCAGCCAGCCAGCCAGTCAGTCAGTCAGTCAGTCAGTCAGTCAGTTAGTCAGTCAGTCAGTCAGTCAGTCAGTCAGTCAGCCAGCCAGCCAGCCAGTCAGTCAGTCGGTCAGTCGTACAGTCAGTCAGCCAGTCAATCAATCATTTAATTGGTTTCACGTATAGTAATGGAAAGGATGAACCAACTATAAAATGGACGCCTGCAGTTTCTTGTTTATGTTGTAGACTGTTATTGGTTAGTAGTGGTAGTTATTTCTGTTACCTTATGTTATTTTCCAGTGTGGCAGCTTAGGAAGTTTGTTCAGCTTGGAATCATTTCAATCTTGTGTTGAGGATGAATTTGTAGGATCTTCAAGGTCAAGTGATGGAATTCTTTCACCATTTGCACCCTCGTGAGTGTTATTCCATGTTTGTATCCTTTGTATTTATTTTTTAAGCACGAATTGACTTAATACAGACCTCCGTTTAGAAAAGACACGTTATTATTTTTGGCTTCTTTTAACAGGGTCACTAAATCTAAATGTAGCCGTTAACAGCAACTAATTTTTACTGTTAAATATTGCAATTGCTTTATACAAGAGAAGATGAAGGGTATTCCCAAGGTGTTCCCCCTCAAGTTATTTTTAGATCAATCCCAGTTTTGGAAATCCTAAGAGGGTCTAGAAGTAGCCAATCCTGTGACGTAGATTTTGGTCACGTGACAGCCCAAGCGGCCTTACACGCATTCCATGAAAACATGTACTCAACGCGCGTGGTAACATCCGTGGAAGAAATGGGTAACATGTCTTAAAAAACCTTGAGATTAAGGCCTATATGGGGGTTTCACTCTCTTACTCTCTCTTCATCCTCTCTCGTTTGTCCTAGTTGGTAGACATTGTAATTAGTTTATAATAAAAAAGAGTTAACTATGCCTTGATGATGGAAAGTACTTTTATGGTATTGGAAAATATCTCTCTGATCAGTTGTCTTTTCGTTACTTCTAGCAATTGGTTTCATGCTGATCTGCAAGGAGCAGAAAGGCTGGAAACCTTAAGCTGTGGCAGCTCGGAGTCTCCAAGAATGGAAAACAATGACGACATGTCCACGCATTCCGATACAACCCTCAGTACGGCACGTGAGAAGTTGTCATTAGCGGACTATGCCTTGTTTGATGAAGATGCTTTGTCAGACCACAGCGGATCCCGCTACGGGAGACAAACTAGCGCAATGTATGAAACAAACGTCAGCGTGCATCAGAATCATTTAAAAAGGAAGAGTTTAAGTTTAGAGAGTCTGTCGAATTCTTCTGTTTATGGAAGCTCAAGAGGCCAGCACAAGCATCACAGAAGAAAAGCCGAGCACCCCATGTTGCAGAAAAAACTTTCCAGTCCATTACNAAAAAGACAGGGGTGCTTGTCGTACCTTTCAAGGGTTCAAGGAGCAGTTTTGATACCTCTTAGGTTTTTTAGCTTCAAAAGGTCCACAGCGGAGATTATGTGGTACCTTTTAGGGTATTGAGCTGAAAGAAATATGACAGGAGAGAAGGTGTTGTTTTAGAATTGGTGCCTCTTAGGGATGAAAAAAATTTCAAGCCACGCCCACAAAACAGGATCTTGGTACCCTTTGGGGGTTCTTTTCAAAATTTCCGATGAGTAACCCTGTCTTTTGAAATGGAATTTTCCCCCGGTTTATGGTTCAAGATAAGCCAAAGTCAACGGTGAAGGGCAAGCAATTTTTAACGAAACCGTCGCTAAACGATGCGTGTACACAGAGTTAGGTCGCTATGAACTATGAGTTCTAAATTTAAAATTGGCTGAGCAGCAGTCTTGTATTAGTTTAAACATGCTTTGAACAACCAGATCTTCGAGTTCAAATGCTCCTTTGTGTTAAACCCCAAACTGGCTTTTGAGTACTCACACACAACGTAACCATACTGCTAAGGCTTTGAGAACTAAACCAAAAATTTTCCTTTACATGGCCAAGCACTAAAATTTCACTTTACTCAACGCCTTTAAGCCTACCTAAATGTCATTGTACAACGTTTGTATAAAGTTGTTTTTCTCACAGACCAGAAAAAATTCGACTGAGATGCTTTGCAGAGGAAGTTTGCCAACCATTGGAAACATACTCAGGTAATCTAATGTTACGTGAGGAATTTAAGATTTACTTACAAACGTGTTTTAATCTCTTTGCGATCGTAAAGAAAATAGAATGATTTTCACTGACGGTTCGTATCATTCATCACAAACACCAGGCTTTATTTTCGCAACTGTCTAAGTTGCGTACGTAATAAGCTACTTTCGATATATTAAAATTCAGCTTGATAGTATGGCCTAGAGGACAAAAACAAAAGAAATGAATAAATATGGTCATTCAATTTCCTTTGTTTGTGTCCTCTAAGCGTCACTGCCAAGCTGAATTTTAATACATCGAAAGTGGTCTATTGCGATGACTTCTTATGTATTCACATGCTAATATATTCACATGATAATATATTCAGATAATAATATTGCCAATATATTCACGTGCTAATATATTTGCATGCTAATTCATTCACATACTATTATATTCACGTGCTAGTAATGACCGTTTTAAACAAAGCAATAGAAGGAAGGCTAGATAACGCCATATCCACCGGATAAATCGCTATCCAGTGGATAAGTGTTAACAAAACAAACCACGCTCTCCGCTGGATAGTGATTTATCCGGTGGATAGCGTTATCCACTTTTCGAACAACCCGGGCCTGCACTCTTGTCACATTATTCTGAGAGTTTTAATATCTTTGACAGGTTCTAATGTATTGTTGTTGCGGAATAATTTGAGTTGTGGAGTTCATTTGCTCTTTGCTCTTCTTTGTGGAAGACCAGTGATTGTCCTTGGTGAACCTCGAAATGAAAGGTTTGTTCCCTTTACATAACATTTGATTTTTACTTTCTAAAGGGCAAAATGAGGCAACAAGGTAGCTATAAAACTTCAAATACTCTTGACAGACACTTCGAAAACGCAAAGAAGTGGCCGCCATTTTGTTCAGTGACAACTGGCAGGGTCCTCACTATCTACAACAGAATTCGTGATAGATCGCTGGTAGATTTATACTAATACGTGATAGAAATCTCGGGCTCATAATCTAATTGCTAAGTAAAAACACTCGTGTCAGTTTGAGAGAGCTCAAAAAAGCTGTGAGAATACTCGCCTTCGGCTCGTGTTCCACAGCTTTCTCGTTCTCCTAAACTTTCGCTCGTGTTTAAAACTCGGCAGAAACACGGATCTGCTTGTTAAATAATGGTCAATACATCTAGTTTGAAATGTTGATAAAATTCGTACTTTATTTTCTGTTTTATTATTTGACCAGGGACGTGCGGACTGTCATTTCTGCTCTTTGGATGTTTGTTCCTGAGAATATGAGGTTTGCTCCTTTATCTGCTTATAAAATAAGTTGCATTTTTACCCAATCGTACCTTTTTGGTACGCTTCGGCGGCATATCAGGCGAGTGTGGTCGAGCCATGGTTCGCATTTTGACGAGACGTAGTCGAGCCAAAATACCCATGGCGAGACCAAACGAACCTACCAGAACTGTACGATTAGGTATGTACAGTACCCAAATTTGGTTAGGTCAGCATGATATCGTAGCCATATCAGCTCAGTGGCTTGATATCGCAGGATATCAGGACGGTAGACACGGCTTCTGATTGGATAATTGCGATTTTGGGTACGGTATTAAAACAGTCATAATTATGTTTTTAACTGTATATCTGATTTGTGTTTAGTAATGGAAAAGCCGTGGATCCGTGGAGAACCAAACCACTACAAATCGCTGATCTTTCATGGCAAGTACAAGATGTGTTCTTTGATTTTCTTATGTGTTGGTTTGACGGCAGCTTTTTTTTGAGCGGAGACATTCCAGACGTTCTAATGGACGGACCATTATTTTTTTTAAGGTTGGGGGTTTTGGCAATTTCCAAAGAAAAAAATCCTACACTGCAAAAGCTACTGAAAAAAAAAAACCGTGCAAGTGGAGCCATGGGGAAAAAATCGAGCAAGCATTTTCTACCTTCCAGGTCCTGTGTTTGACCTTAAAAAAAACTCTTGCACAAGCTATTGTCCACCAAAAACAATCATGCACGACCTTAAGTGAAACTGAATAAATAATGTCCCAGATAATTGCTCAACCCCGTCAAAAAACTAACGGTCCGTCCCTAAGCAAATTCAAATTCTCCATTATGAGAGAAAGCAGAAACTTGTTATGAGAGAACTGACATGCGAGCACCTATAAGATCGAGTATTTTGTTTTGCAAAATAAGCGCGGTTAAGCCAACTTTTTTGGATGGTTTGTTTATTTGTTCTTAAAACTGTGAGGCGGCACTAGGAATTTATGTAAATGGTGCTGTAGAATTTGTCTCAGCTGTAATTACTTTATTGCATTTGAGTTCTAACGTTAATTTTGTGAATGTTTTTAAAAAACAGGCTGAAACTTGTTGGACTTGCTAAGAACAAACACTCAAACATGGTCCCCAAATCTGTCAAGGTAAATGACTGAAAAAGATTCAACGATTGTAACTATTGGTGCTTCTTGCCTCGTTGTATCGCCTTCCATCAATGCGACTCAGGTTCGATTCCGTCCCGGTGCCATATGTGGGTTGCGTTTGTTGGTTCTCGCCTTGTTCTCCGGGTACTCTGGTTTTCCTCCCTCCAAAAAAAACCAACATCTCCAAATCTCGATTCGACCAGGAAAGAGGACCTGCATGAAAACCAGCTAAGGCCGATGTGGCTTCCTCTCTAAAAGTTGAAGTTTATTTTCGTTAAGATAGAAAGGACACCTCTCGTTAGCTTTAAGGAAGTTAACTGACGATTGAAGGCATATCATTTGATAAGATTTTACATTTTGCCTTTGCAATTTTACCCACGGTGGAAGCCCAAGATATCGAAGTGTCAGGAGACTGGGTTGATGTTCTCGTTTCCCAGGGACCTACAAGTTGTATTCGTTGCATGGAAATCCAGTTTACCTGAATACACTTAGAACCTTTTAATTTAAAGTACAATCTCACCGCACCCTTCTTCCCAATCTTGTCTATAAAAGGAGCTACGTCACAGTTTGTGCATCTTTGAAGAGTTAAAAGTACATTTTTCAAGTTTGTCGTTTTTAATCCGTGGTTATTCTCTCCACCCTTGACCATCCTTGTTTCTTTATGGTTCATTATTATGTCTTTGGTGTTTTTCTATCTTAGTAAACTATTATTTTCAGATTACCTTCAGTTAAAACGTAATTTTGTTTATCAAAACATACTTAGGTAATCTTTTGAGCTAAAATCATAAATCCACTCGAGAATCAACCATGCATGTCTGTTATACACAAAGAGCCTTTTCGTTCGTGTTGCCGATTTTGTGGATTGATTTAATAACTCTTTTGAACCAATCACATCTTTGAAAACAGCTCTGAAGACATTTTTACAAAGTAAAAATGGAAATTATTTCCTTCTCTAATAATTTTATTTCATGGTTTTACATTTGAAATGATTTTACAACGCACAGAGACTTCCACTGCATGTGTTTGGCAAGAAGACTATGAACTTTTATGGTGCCCACTGTATTACATTATAATTTTTCTCATACATTTTTTCAGAGGTTTGTGTCTTTGTTGGATTTTGAAACAGATCTCATTGTGACGCCACAGTATAAGGTTTGTTTAGTTTAATTCGCTTCCCTTTAACTGAGACGAGGTTTTTTTTTCATTGAGAAATGTCACGCAGTGAAATGTAAGTGCCATGTGTACAGAGATGGAATAAGTTCCTTGTAAACACATTTTCTCCGGTCTTCTCCGTGTATGACGAACGTAGATTAAATCCTGACAATAACTGACAATAGATCAGAAATAGATCACAATAGATCAGAATCAACCCGTCAAAGCTAAAGATGTTTCTAGCGGCAAAGCCACGCTACACGTAAAATGTCTCTGATTTTCCGTTGATATTCAGATAGCTACATTTTGTTGTAAAAGATTGCAGCTTTCAAATATTTGGAAATGTGATGAATTATGCTGCATCATAACCACTGCAACAAAAATTGCTTTCGCAGTGATAGCGTACGATTGACACTGACAGCAGAGACATAATAAATGAAGTATATGAATTGCTTTATTTAAAAGAGAACTGGCAATCCAGACCAATAAGAGAAGGGCAAAACTGACCATTGTCTTGTATTTTAACAGGGGCATTATCTCCATTCAATTTGCAATCATTCCAACCAGTGGCCAGTAAGTAACAACTCAAATGATCCATGCTTCCTGCCTGCCTGCCTGCCTGCCTGCCTGCCTGCNCTGTATTACATTATAATTTTTCTCATACATTTTTTCAGAGGTTTGTGTCTTTGTTGGATTTTGAAACAGATCTCATTGTGACGCCACAGTATAAGGTTTGTTTAGTTTAATTCGCTTCCCGTTAGCTGAGACAAGAGGTTTTTTTTTTCATTGAGAAATGTCACGTAGTGAAATGTGTAAGTGCCATGTGTACAGAGATGGAATAAGTTCCTTGTAAACACATTTTCTCCGGTCTTCCCCGTCTATGACCAACGTAGATTAAATCCTGACAATAACTGACAATAGATCAGAAATAGAGCACAATAGATCAGAATCAACCCGTCAAAGCTAAAGACGTTTGTAGCGGCAAAACCACGCTACACAAAAAAATGTCATTGATTTTCCGTTCATATTCAGATAGCTATTTTGTTGTAAAAGATTGCAGCTTTCAAATAGTAGGAAATGTGATGAATTCTACTACATCAAAACCGCTGCAACAAAAATTGCTTTCGCAGTGATAGCGTACGATTGACACTGACAGCAGAGACATAATAAATGAAGTATATGAATTGCTTTATTTAAAAGAGAACTGGCAATCCAGACCAATAAGAGAAGGGCAAAACTGACCATTGTCTTGTATTTTAACAGGGGCATTATCTCCATTCAATTTGCAATCATTCCAACCAGTGGCCAGTAAGTAACAACTCAAATGATCCATGCTTCCTGCCTGCCTGCCTGCCTGCCTGCCTGCCTGCNAACGCTGACTGAAACTGCGTCTGCTATGGAAGCAGGAAAAACTTCCGTATGAATAACAAAAATTCGAATAATTCGTACGGGACTACCGACAAGAGTCCAAATTCATAGAAGTTCCAAGTTGTCACTTACCACCCGATCCAAGTCAATGTATTGTACGTTTTTAAAAGGCTAAAAGAAATTATTTTCGCACTTTTTCAGCCTACTGTGTACTTTGTAACCAGCAAATCTGTGAACCAGAGGTAGCGTGACATGTGCGTAAGTATTAACTACGCGAGTGGGTCGTTCGCTTTAGTATGTAGAGATTACGCAAATTAATCTGACTCAAAGAAACGGCACTCATTGGAATCGCTTATTTGTTCTTAAGGTAAATATGATAATTTGGATAAGGAAGAATCAGCAATTACAGAGAAATTCAATGAAATCTTCTGACTCCCGTACGAATAGGAAATACAAGTCGCCGTACGGGTGCCGTACGAATAGCCACTGCGTAAAAAATAACAATCGTGACGGTGTAACTCGCTTCACAAACTGACGTATACATTAGGTTATACATCAGATTATAACGTACAAATAGTAGAAGAGTGCCGCCATCTTATCATTTAAGATGCCAAAAACAAAGAAATCCGTTAAATCTTTCATGTTAAAAAGCACGTCTCAAAAATGTGCCCAAAGCGCGATTTAAAGGTTCGGGACCTTAAATTACATTACATAATAAATTGTAATCTTTCAAACTTTTTAAGCTTCAGATCTAAATTAGAGAAATTCAAGTTCCATAACAACAGGATAATATCTTAAGTAAATTCTTCTAAACTCTAGTAACAAAAAGCAAGCGAATCAAACGAACGGACGAAACGAACAGCTAAAATAGAATCTATTAAATTTCACGTTTGCACGGCTTGATCAGGAGATTCCGTAAAGAATATGCTGTAGACGCTCCTGTAAATACTAACCATATTGGGTGCCTACCATTTGTCAGAATAAACCGGTTGGGATGACCGTTTTATAATGGTAAGGGTTTTTCCAAAATCAGCAAACCAACCGAACGAGATGGCGCTTACCATTTGCAATCCGATTTCCCGTAATTGTTTTCGGCTGATGAGAGACTGGAAACTGGACAATTTGCCAAATGGTAAGGAAATTTCCGTCGTTCTGTTCCGAACGGGAAAAGAGGCCTACCTCTGGAGGTAGTTTACAATTTCCGAACGGATTTTCCAGAAAATTACTGTTCCATTTGACTTTCAACCGAAATTTCCGGATTTTGTTATTAAATGGTAACCCCCATCATCACCAATCATACCCGGAAAATGGAAGTGATGGATTTCATCCTAGTAGAAACTATGATCATTCTAGATAATGGTTAATCTTTTAAAAGCGTTACTGCTTGAAATAATCTTTTAGAAGCGTTACTACTTGAAATAAGCATTTTAAGTTTTACATTACATTTTATGCCGCTGTAAGTTAAGTTACTTAACTTATAAAAGCACTTCTCTCATAGTTAAATGCTACCATTCTAATTCAGTTGATGGTACAATGATGGAATCAAGAAAATGACTTACGAGCTACAACAAAGCACAGCTACCCAGGCAACAGGTTGCAAAATAACTAGCAAAAGAACTGACTGGCAGACTGACTCTACATTGCTACTCTCATCATTAATGTGTCGTCAAGTTCTGTAGATCCAAACAAGAGTGGTAAACAACACTCGTCCAACTTCAGCACACAGAGCTGTTATTCCACTGGTAGACGCTCATCTGGAATGCCAAGCTGTGGTGTCACTTCATCTGCTGGACTCAATAGTGACGCCACTATTCCACTGTCCTGTTGAACAAAAACATCTTTAAATTAATGACTCATTTTGTATTACATACAGACAAGTAGGTCCCTGAGCGACCACCTTCAATGACCCACCATGCTTGACAATTAAAAGTCTATACCACTAATGGTGTGTTAAACGAAAATACCCTCAAAGTGATTATTATAAGGAATTTTAAATGTAAAAATAACAACTTGGAAAGGAATCCGAGTTCCAGATGGGATTTGAACCCACGACCCTCCATGATCTAGCCGGACGCTCTAGCCACTGAGATACTGGAGACTCTATGGTGAGCAAGGGTGAAATGTGACTGGAACCGCATGACGCGGTCACACAGCCAAATGATGACTTAACACATTATGAACTCACTAACTGCATCGCGCAGTCACATTGGGGCGTATCAAAGATGCAACCAGGAGCGGTTGGTTGCATCATTGATATCTATATATTGACGTCTCTTTCAAGACAGCGCAGTCGCACTCCCAGAACTAAACTGGCGTGATTTTGCTGTACATTTCATTCAGCTCGCTACGTTCGCAAATACCTTATAAACCCAGATAAATTTTAAAAGCACAAAATTGTCGCAGTAAGACTAACGATCGTACATCGCCGGTTGGAACCAGCGCTCTTTATTTACATGATAGCTTTGTCAAGGCTGTTTCTTCTTCGCTGTAGGTTTTGAAATAAAGAAATATGGCGTTCAGTGAGAAACGTGCACAAATGTAAGACAACTGATAACAGCCATCGTTCCTGGCGCCATGTTCCCGACGCACAATTCCAGCCCGTACTGTGCACTCTCGAGAGTTTGTCTGCGTTTGTTTTGTTTTATGCAAGACATCACAAACTGTAAACATCTTGCAACTACTTACATGAAGTAAATTCAAAGTTTTAAAACAACCGCCATTATGGATGCGAAGCGGTCGAAACTTTTAATATGCTTCGTTCTTTCTCATATCCTTTGATGAAACAACTTCGCAGCTGTACAAATCAATGAAGCTGTTGGAGAAAGAATTTGAAAGGCCTCAAAGATAAGGTATGTGGTTCGTAACGAATAATATCGATTCGCATTTCATCGAGCGAGATTTATAATGTTTATAAACATTAGGGTGCTGAGACTGCGCAATATGGACTGGAAATCATTTTTAAAACTATCGTCACTTGTTTACTCGTTTACGAGTGTCGATAAACCACTGAAAACAATTATTGTGTTCACGAATTTCTAATTTCTAGTCTGCTACTGTTGCGCCATGCGTCGTAATTCTAGGTCAGCTCTTCGAAGGTTTCGACATGAAGTAACAGGCCCTTATATAAATCGAAAAGGCGGGGAATTTACATGTCTAATGTTCATAATGGGTACATTTGCATCTGAAGGTTGTTGAGCGGAAAAACTCTAATGGATGAATCAATAAACGAATCAATGAATGAATCAACGACTCAATGAATTAATGAGTCAAGCACGCACGCACGCACGCACGCACGCACGCACGCACGCAAGGGAGCAGTTGGTTTGTGGATTGGTCAGTTGGTTGTTCAGTCGATGCGAGGGGAAATGATTCAGGAGGGAGGGAGCGCTTCTGTGATGCTTGCCAGAGTATCAGTTAAGTTAGTTACACCTCTAAACTCTGGCAGAAAAACAAAAACGTAAGTTTGTTTCGCTGGAATCAAACAAAATTAATAGGTGTTTGTACCTGCTGTTCAACACGGGAGCAGCTTCTAATATAAGCAATGCCTCGTCCTTGCGGCGTACCAACAGCAACACAGCGTAATGATTCAGGAATAACGCTTTTAGGGACTGTAAAGACGAATTGAGCCCAGATGAGCTCTGAGAAGCCAAGAAACAAGCACCACATCCACTGATCCACATCCATGCCTTTCACGTGGAATGCTGTGTGGAAGAATTGCACTATTATGATCTAAACAAAAGAAAAAAATTAACAGGCAAACCTTGTTAACAAATTTTGTGGGTGCAGCCAACATAACTGCTAAACCATACTATTCACACAAAAATCTGGCCTTAACAAAAGTTAACCTGCATCACAGCTTGACCAAACCAGATAATAAGGAAAACACAGTTTCTGTGGATTCCATTGAAGACATTCCTTTCCTGCATCATTCTTGCATTGACCTCATTAAACAGCTGCATGAACACAAATGTTGTGAACACTATAGAGCTGTGTTGAGTTGGCATACAGAAGGTTTCGGGATCAAAGCCATCTACAATGTCAAACAAGTCGCTTCCCATGAAGATCAACACAAACATGACAATAAGCTGGTAGATACTGTGACCAATCACATTGCGGAGTAAAGTGCGTGAGATCAAAGGCTTGTGACGACCATAGGGCTTGTACTTCATGAGGTCGTCAATAGGAATATCTCTTGTTAGGGCAAAGCAGGCCAAAGTGTCCATTATCAGGTTGATCCACAACAGCTGTGTAGCAACAAGTGGACTCCTCTACAAAGCAAGTAAAGGCAAGGTGAGTTGATGACATCAAAAGACAAACTGGCACAAAGACCATGGCACATTTTGAACAATTTAGGCCAAAAATTTTCAAGTTTGTTAGTTGCAATTGGTGTCAATTTGCCCAAATCTTTATAATTGCCATTCTTTTCATTTTAATATGACAAATATCATTTAGACTAAGTTAGACTCAATCCAGTGCAGCCGCAGTGAGCGGTCTGCCCCTTAATGGTAAGTGACCTGTGGGGCAGCCTTTAGAAGATTCGCTGAGCCCTTGTTTTTAACTACACTACATGTGCAGTTCAGTTAGCTGATTGTTGAGGTTCATTTCACAGCTCATGCTAGGGGAATCTTTGCTGATTCTTGCTCCCTCTCCTCCCTCCCTTTTGGTATGTTGGTTTCTTGGTAAGTAATGGGTCAGGTAAGTTGTTTTCACTGATATCTTGCAGTGTGAAGGTGCCAGTTGGTGACCGCTTCTTGAGGGGGTTTCCGCTTCTGGGATTGTCATTGCTACCTCCCTTCTGCACATTGCATTTGGCACCCCGCTAACCTTCTAGACACCAGTTCCCAACATCTACATCTACATTTAATAATTGATAACGCCTTCATCCAATCAATATAAAGTAAAATAAATAAATAAATAAATAACTAAATAAATAAATAACATTGAAAATGAATAAATTAATTGTAAAACGCTATAAATACTAATTACATATTATAAATAGAGCGGTTTTCAATTGAGTGTTGAAAGTAATTAGACAATTACTTTGGTTTTGGTTTTGGTTTTACTTCGGTTCGAGATTGGCTGAGTAGTCTAATTGGTAAGTAATTCGTTTGGTTTTGGTTTTACGACACTCAATTGAAAACCGCTCTATGGAAGATGAATAAATTGATTGTAAAACGCTATAAATACTAATTCCATATTGTAAATATGGAAAATGAATAAAGTAATTGTAATCATTTAATTGCGATGAATTTAACCTTATTTAACCTTTTCTTTAGAACTCTGCACTCTGGATCAAATGGTCTGGGTTTCAACCCTGGCCAACTTTACTCCCGGGGTACTCCCATACGAAAAGGTCGAAGATGTTCGTTTGAAAATTTGAATTAAACCACTAAAGGAGACCAATCTGGGTGTGGCTCAAGCTTTCTTTGAGCCCTAAAAGACACCACTTAAAATGGAATAGGCTTGATTACCAGCAGCTGTTCAAGGAGCCTGCGCTAGCTATTCCTATATACTGGACTTGAGAGACCAGCAGAAATCGAGCCTAAAAACGGAAATAGAACGTTTTTTGATTATTATTTCAGAGTGCACCCTGAAAGATGCTTTGACAGCTAAAAGTAGTAGTGTTTCGTCATGAACACCCAAAGTGAGACCAAAGCAATACTAATAATAACAATAACAATAGTAATAATAAAATAATTAAATAATTTATTGAGCACTTTTCCATACAAACTTGAATCTTACATGTATCTGGTAAAAAATTCAGAAATTCTGTTGTTCCTTAAGTTTTCGGTAATTATAATAATAATAATATCAAAATAATAATAATAATTCATTATAGTATATATACAATAGTAATAATAATAATAATAATAATAATAACAATAATAATAACAATAATAACAAAAAAATTAAACTTAACGTGATGATTATTTACAGCACAAAACTATTTACAATAACAATTCTAATAAAGTCGTTAAAAAAGGAAGCAAAATGTAGTTTACAGAGATAAAGGGAATTGAGAAGAGCTCAAATTGGAATGACTTGTTTAAAATGTCACAGAAATGTAACAAAAGTATTTGCGCTTTGTCATCGATTGTACGTGAGAAGTAACCAAAAACAAAAGAAAATTACTCTCAACTTTATGATACACATTCTACTAATTACGGAACCTTACTCATCTTCACTTTAATACTACCAATAGTAAAAATAGAAAATTGATAGAAAATACACTAAAAATACATAAGACATGGACTAATAATAATAATAATAATAATAATAAAAATAATAATAAAAATAATAATAATAATAATGATAAAAATAATAGCAACAGTCCTAGTGCCAGTAATAGTGTTAGTAATAGTGTTAGTAATCGTAATAGTAATAGTAATAGTAATAGTGTTAGTAATCGTAATAGTAATAGTAATAGTAATGGCAATGGCAATGGCAATGGCAATGGCAATGGCAATGGTAATAGAGCGGTTTTCAATTGAGTGTCGTAAAACCAAAACCAAACCAATTACTTACCAATTTTGTGTTTCCCTTTCAGCGTTTTCTTGGAACTGGCAAATAAGTCGTACGTTTATTACTATTGTTATTGCCTTGGAGGTCTTCAGTGGTCCTCCTGCAAGAGGTATTTGTATCCGTTATTTTTAACTGTTTGAGTTCTCGTGTTCGGCTTTTTAATCAGAGTTTTCTTATCAGCTACGAGCCCTTTCAATCCGATATTGTCGAATTTCAAAATCGATGAAGAGTTAAATCCTGAACTAGGGTTTACTTCACAGAGTCACAGCACAATAATCAGTACCACAATAATCAGTACCACATAAACGTATTGCTTAAAAGCATTCATTTAATCAATACCAGGTATCTATGAACCATGTTAGTCAATTAATTCACTGCCAAGTGAAAAGTGTACATTGAAACCTTCTTCCCTAATTTACGATTCTGAGGTTTTGACAAAAAAATCTAAAATAATTTTTTGAGAGAGAGAGGTTGAACATGCACTCTGCTCTCTGCGGAAACTGTTTTCTCCTTTTAAAGTTGTTGTCGCCTACTTCTTTATTTTGAAAATACTCAGTTAAATCATTCCGTTATTGTATTTTGCAGGAGTCAGCGATCAACCCCAGGACTTGTTGTAGAAGTTCATGGGGTAAGATTTGTTTTGGTTAAACCAGTTAAGATATTACCCCCAATGTGAGAGTTATTCTACAAGTACGCATACTACAAATAGTCGTAGTAATAGTTTAACATTACGTTTTTCTCTTTATTTGTTTTAGGATGGCTCTGAAATTTTAAGCAGACTTTATGTACATTTTTCTGATGCCAAAATTGTTCAGGTAAGCTAATGAGCAGCTTTCTTACAATAAATGTTCGTACCACTGTAAGTGGGGGCGGGGGGAGAGGGGTGAATTGGTTATTACCATCTGGTGTTTGTATCATTTGAGTGAATCTAGGCTAAAAATCTGGCGCAGTTGTCCCAGTAGTAGGCACTACCTCTTTGCGAAAGGATCCGCTTGGGTAACCTGTGGTGCAGCCAGACGTGTCACAAAATCCTCGATATACTAGTCCTATACCGGCAGCTTAGACCATCTGTGGCGTAGGCTACGGTTGGGATGACCATTGAATAATGATTTCAAAATCTGTAAACCACTCAGAAACGGCCATTCACGTGTGATTACGTCATCGGTATGGAATTTCTCGGGTCCAGTCCCATGCAACTCTTCAGCGCGGAACACAGACGTTTGCTCAAGCAACGAGAACGTCGCCAAGCAAAAGCTTTAATGAGCAGAACAATGCCTATGCGCGTGCGTTATAAATCTTTGTACATCTCTTTGCCGTCCTCTGCAAACCAACATCGTGAAATGACCAAGTTCTCCTTAGTCTGGGAAACGCGAACAGCGGCGGCTAATTTGTCGTATTTTCATTTCTAATTGAACGCTGTCATTACATATTTAGCCTGAGCATGCTTTTAGAACCATAGGCGTACTGGACAGATCAGACAATTGCGAATTTCGCTGGTAAAATATGAATTCATTTTTGACAAGGCGTCGTGCTCAGCGTCTACTTAAGCTCCCTAATGTTAAGAATAGCTTACTAGGGTCAATCAGAGTGAGAGCTGGGTGACAGATTAGTGTACCCCTACATACTAAAAACAACTCCGCAATTTTGAATTGTGTTTGAATTCTATTGTAATTTATCTCCTGCTTTACCGTTTTCAGTATTTCGCCGAGCTCATCAAACAGCAGCAGATTGACTACCATCAGAATCTTTCTGCTGATCAAGGTAAATTATCCAGTGTTTAATTGTGGGTAGATGGACAAAACGGTGCTTAGCAACCTGGCACATCCGAACATCGCCACACTCAAATAGTCGCTCAGGTTACTTCGAGCAACAGTTCCTCTCTTACAGCACAGGTTGTACGTTAAACTTTGTCTTTCAGTTTTCCTCAGAAGACTCTTAACAAATAAGTTTACTTGGCATCTTCTAATTTCCTTAGATTTCTCTGGAGAAGGAGCTGTTACGCCCGACTCAGGTGGGTTTTAATAGTATACCACAACAAAATAGTTGTTTTTTTATGGGATGTTTATGCTACAGGAACTTTTGCGTTGTGTCGGTAAGCGTTAGGATAAAAAGTCACGAGGGCAATTCTGAAAACGTAGCACTTAGAGCACTTGGAATCTAAAACTGATGACAGTCAATAAGTTAAAGCGCTGGTAAGGTTTGGTTCGCCCAGACTCTCGTTGGAACATTTAGGATGAAGGAAAAACAAAATTCACTGTTTTTAGTGGACACCCTTACTGGCCGCTTTCTGAGCGGTTTGAATAAGCCTACAAACTAAAATTTATGTACAGAATAAAAAACATGGAAAAGTGAATGCATCCGATAAATCATTTTTAACGGTTTGTTTTTCGCAGACTCAGTTGCAGAAAGAAAGTCGGTATTGATTACCCCAGATCTGTCGAAGTGTGCAGTTTTCCGCAATGTCAAGCCACTGGAGGTCACGTGATTCCGCAGAGGACCAAGAACACAGTTTTATTGCAGTGTTTTATCATTTGGCCACTCATTAGTATGGTCACGCATGCTCTAGAAACCTCGCAGGCTAGGAAAAGAAATAATAATAATAATAATAATAATGATAATAATAATAATAATAATAATAATATTAATATTAATATTAATAAAAAAATTTTCTAGCGTATTACATCAGTAAAATCTCAATGCTCTTACAAAACTAGTAATAATTTAGGATCCATTGAAACTTTTAGTTGGATCACTACTCAGAAGATAATCTTTGTTCACGTAATTATTTACATCTCACGTTTAGAAATTAATTCAGACGCTTTGCTGAAATATCGTGTTGTAAGACGTGTGGCCAAGAGCTTTCTATAAACTTGCTTTATTATCTTAGAACAGAAAGAAAACAGCGCTAAAAGTGCTGACCGAAAAAAGAAAATAACCAAAAAGAAAAAATAGCGACTAAAAGAAGAAATAGTGGCTATAAGATTCTAAATTTCATGCGAATGGCAATTTTGATTTTTTTACGTTGTCTCAGAATCAAATTCGATGGACCGTATCTTGTAATCCTGTACTTTATCCCAAAATACTTTTTTCAGTTTGATCTGTAGAATCTTTTTATCCAATTTGGTTGACGTTTATTTGGTGACATCATAGTTAACAGAGGGAAATGGTTAAGAAACCTGGCAAAATTCTTCGTTGTATGTATTTGTTGGCTATTTTGGGTGTTGACCCTCAAAGGGTGGTTACGTGTGCTCATAAAGCTAACCAAAAGAAGCATTGCGATTATGTAATCAAACATAGTCTATGAGCATAAAACAAAAGATTTGCAACGGACCCTCCAAAATAAATCTTAGCCTGTGTGTTTGCTTCTTTTATGTTTACCGGGCTTCTTAACCATTTCTTCTATTGACTGTGGTGGCATCTTTTTAAGCCCTTTCGACAGATGCAACTAAGTAGAGTTTGCAATCTTTATATTACCTGTCGTGTTAAGTTTGAAATGAAACGAGTCGAACCTTTGA